TGAGTGCAGGGGTGAGTGTGTAAGGACTGGGTTGTGTTAGTGTGGTGCATGTGAGTGGGTATCGGTGTGTGTATGCATGAGTGAGTGTGTGTGTAAGTGTGAGAGTGAGTATGGGGGTGGGGTGAGTGTGAATGTGTGTGTGTCTGTGTGTGAGTGTGAATGTGGGAGAGGACTGGGTCATTTGGAGCGAGCCCAGGAGGAGGAGGACATGCTGTGGCTCTCTGGGCTCTGCGGCTTGGTGGCAGCTGGTCCCTGGGGCTCCTCCCCCAGCACTGAAAGTACTCTAAACAGTGGACAGAGAGACTCAGGGCCAGCGGCACTCCATGATCGAAACTCTGGGAGGGAACCCAGGGCTCAGTATGGGGCAGGCCAGTCCTGCTTGAGAGAGAGGTGTGTTTACCCAGTGTAGATGGGACACTGAGGGTGGGAAGGTCCATCCTGCCCTGAGAATGAGGTGTGATCGCCCAGTATAGATGGGACACTAAGGGTGGGAGGGTCCATCCTGCCCTGAGAGTGAGGTGTGATCGCCCAGTATAGATGGGACACTGAGGGTGGGAGGGTCCATCCTGCCCTGAGAGTGAGGTGTGATCGCCCAGTGCAGACAAGACTCCAAGGGTGGGAAGGGCTGGTTCCTTCCTGGGATCCCACAGCTGTGCTTTGGGATGACTCCGCTCACTCTCACCTCAGGTCCATCCTGTGCTGTCCAGCACATCTCGGCCACCGTGGGTGTTCTGGAACCTCCGGCAGCCTCTGGTCTCACTGAAGGTGGCCCACGAGCTGGTGGGCTCGCACGTCAGTGTCCTGTGCTCCAAGCCTCTGTGTCTCCATCCCACCCCCTCCATTCCTGCCCTGTGCCTGCCTCCAGGATCACCTCGACCTCCACCATCACCCCCACCCCCCACACAGGGAGGGACCAGGTCAGGCCTGGACTACAGATCTTGGAGAGACAAGAACCTTAATCTGAATTGTCCAAATGTGCTCCTTTTCCCCCAGGGCCAGGCCCTCCAAGCCCCTCTCAGCTCACCCCGAGTTCACCAAACTCCTAGTCCCAGACATCTAGCCAATGCCAATCTCCATGGAGCCCACCGCCCACCACTCCTGGCCTAGGAGATAGGACAACAGGGTGGTCCCACATTGTTGTGGCCACTGCCAGGCCCCACCTCCCCAGGCCACCCCTGCTGACCTTCTCCACCCAAGCCCCCTGCCCTTACCACTGGAGACCTTCCTCCTTCAGCATGGGAATCAGAAGTGTGGGTATAGGGTCATCAGACAGTCTCTGACTTCCAGAATTTGACGACATTCCTTAACCCAAACACTGAGTTACAGGGAAAAGGGGGGGGGGTTGTCTGTGCACATATTCTGATAAGTTGTCAGGTGTGTCTCCACCCTGCCTCCCGGGCTCCCTCTCCCCTCTGGGTAGGCTGTGCCCCTGTTTCGGTTACGCAGAACTGCTTGGAGTGGCTGTGAGTGGACAGCATTCTGGCAAACAAAAGGCAGGCAGGAGGGAGAGGCTTACAAAGCCATCTCAAGCTGGGGGCTTTCATCTTTCCCCAAGCAGGGTGGGGAGCGTGGCAAGTGACTTGTTCCAGACCACTCTGTCAGTCTACACTGGCATGTCGTTGATTCATCTGACAGCAGTGTGCTCAAAAGGCTCATGTTGGCCTGAGTTCTCTCCGTCAGGGATATACACAGGCCAGGCTCTCAGTCGTTGATGGGAAGAAGTGCTGTGCGTGAGGGTGGTCCCAGCAGGGGCCAGGGAAATGATGAACCAAGGGGAAAGGGGGAAGGAAATGCCCACCGTGCCCCCTCCAGTTCCCAACACTCTCTTGGATGGTCCTTTCAGCTCAAACCCAAGCGGGCCATGTGGGCTGTTTGTTTTAATTTGTATTTTATTGGAGTATAACACACGCCCCGAAAAGCGCCTGGAGCACACGTGTACAGCTCAGTGGACACTCGCACAATGAACACCCACGAAACCACTGCTCAGGTCAGGAGAGAAGGCACAGAGTCACACCATGTGAGGAGGCGGGCCTGGGGCAGCTTGGCACTCAGCGAGGGCTGGGGGCATTGGGGGACTTGGAGCAGAGTGAGAGGATCACCACAGGCTGGCTTTCGCTTTTGCATGGACCGACCCAAGAGAAAGGGGCAGTGGGGATGCCAAGGGGACACGCATCACACTTGCTGCTGGAAGATGCCGGGGCTCAGCTTGTACATGCACATCAGCCAGAGGACGCAGACGGTCATCGCAACCCAGATCCAGACGTCTTCATAAGGCTCAGCATGAGACCCATGACAGGGGCTGGTGGAGCAGAAGTCTTCATCCCTCCGGGACCCACAGCTGGATCTGCTGAACCGGGACCTCAGCCGCTTCTTCTTTTTGGAGTAGCCATGGGGGAGGAAGCCATTGCTCTGGGGGCCATTGGTGCTGTAGCTGGGGCCCTTGCGTTTGATGATATTGAAGACTGAGAAAGGGATGGTGATGGAGCCCTCACTAAAGGTGATGGGACCAGCAGCATTGGTCTTCATAAGGAAATCATGGCCAGGGGTGGCAGGGTCATTTCCTCCATCTTCCTTCTCTTTGCCTTCAGTGGTGTCAGTGGAAGAGTCCTTGTCTTGGACGTCGTCCATAGAGGAGGTGATAGTGCCCTCCTCGTTGGTGATGGGGCCACCGGTGTTGAACTCTGGAAGGGGGTTATGACCAATTGTGAGAGAGCCATTGCCACCATTTCCCTCGCCTTCATCTTTGGTGGTGTCAGTAGAAAAGTCCTTGTGTTTGATGTCATCAGTAGAGGAGGTGATGGCACCCTCATTGTTGGTGATGGGGCCACCAGTGTTGGTCTCTGGAAGGGGGTCATCACCAGTGGTGGCAGGACTATTGCAGCCATCTTCCTTCCCTTTGCCTTTGGTGATGTCAATACGAGAGTCCTTGCCTTTGATGCCATCAGTAAAGATGAAGGGGAAGGTGATGGCACCTTCATCGTTGGTGGTAGAGCCATTGGCACTGGTCTCCAGAAGGGTATCACAATCAATGGTGGCAGAGCCATTACTGCAAACTTCCTTACTTTTGCCTTCAGTGATGTTGGTGAAGGAGTCCTTGCCTTTGATGATGTTGGTAAATGACAAAGGGAAGGTGATGGAGCCCTCACCGTTGGCCATGAGGCCAATGATGTAAGACACTGGCACTGGGTTCTCTCCAGTGGCGGTGGTGTCATCACTGTTGTAGACAAGGCCCTGGACTTTGGCGATGTCAATAGGGTCCGATATGGATCCTTTGCCTTTGAAGATGAAGCCCTTGAGCTCGAAGCCCTTGCTCTCGATGTTGCTGATCAGGAGGCCCTTGCCGTGGAAGATGGGGTCTTTGATGTTCACCGGGATGCCCTTGCCTTCAGGTATGGCCATGGAATTTGCAGAGAGACGGAGGGAGCCCTTGCCAATGGTGACAGGCCCACGGGTGTCGGTGGCTGGAAGGGAGCCATCGTCAGTGGGGCCATAGCTGCTGCTGTTAGTGACAAGACCCTTGTCCTTGCTGTCATCCACGAGGGAGAAGGGGATGGTGATGACGCCTTCGCCCTTGCTGAAGAAGTGGCTGCTGTCCGTGAGCGGGTTCTTGATGAAGTCAGACACGGAAAGCGGGATGGTGAAGCAGCCCCTGCGCACGGCATAGGGTTCACTGCCCCTGGGCCGCCTGACCATGGGCCCACTGCCGAGTGTCAGCAGCTGCGTGTTACGCGGGACTCTGCCCTCACGGCTGGAGGCGGTGATGGTGAGACCTACACCACTGTACATGATGTAGGTGCCCCGGATGGCATTGGGGTCTGGGGTGAGGCTTGGCACCTTCTGGAAGAAGCAAACACCCAGGATGCAGGCCTCGCAGGGCCTTGGAGCATCACCAGGGGCCTTGTAGTAGAGCCCAGGGCACTGGTCAGGGCCAGGGTGCTCGCCATAGCACTTGCGCAGGACATGCAGGGCCAGCTTGTTAAGGAAGGGGCGCACGCTCGGGGGGCTCACCCAGCAGTCGCCAGGAGTACCCAGGGGGCACAGCCTGCACTGCTGGCCCCAGACACGCATCTTCACCAGCCCCTTGCGGCTCTCCTCATCCCAGAACAGGTGGAACAGGATTTGCACATGCGCCGAGCCCCAGCCCCAAGAGCAGTGGCCACACTGGAGCCTGCAGGGAGAAGAGGGCAGGTGAGCAGGCTGGTAGACGGCAGGGAGGAGAGAGGACCACAGGTGAGCTGGCAGGGGGATGGCGGGGAGGAGAGAGGGCCACAGGTGAGCTGGCAGGGGGATGGTGGGGAGGAGAGAGGGCCACAGGTGAGCTGGCAGGGGGATGGTGGGGAGGAGAGAGGGCCACAGGTGAGGTGAGCGGGCTGGTGGACAGCAGGGGGAAGTGGACAGATGAGTGGGCAGGTGGACAGCAGGGAGCAGAGAGGCACACAGGTAGTGGGCAGGTGGACAGCGGCACGGCTCCCACCATCCTCCAAGTCCCCATGCCCAGGTCTACACAACCCAACCAGAGGGGCTCCCCTGCACCAGCCCCCACGTTCTTCTGCCTATGTGCCTATACGTGGGTTCCGAGGCCCCTTGGAGCCCCTTGCCTGAAAATGTATAAAACTCAGCTGCACGGCTATTTGTCTGCGGTCCATGATCAGGAAGCAGAAATACAAAGTTTGGTTCATAAATCTGCCTCCAAAACCCACTCGGTGGCACCACCTGGCCTACCACGCTGGGAGGGTAGGGGGAGCCTCAGCTCGTCTGCTCAGTGCTGGAGTTGTCTCACTTTTCCGTGGGCTTGTGACTTTGGGTAGGTTCCCTGGTGGCACAAATGGTTTGCACTCGACTTCTGATCTAAAGATTGGTGGTTCAAACCCACCTAGTGGGGACACAGAAGAAAGGCCTGACAATCTACTTCCATAAAGGTTAGAGCCAAGAAAACTCTAATGAGCAATTCTACTCGGCAATACATGGGGTCGCCATGAGTCAGGATCGACCTGATGGCAACAGATTTAGGGTTTGGGGTTTGTTGGTTTGTCTGATGACTTGCGCTTAACCGCACTGAGGAATGTCAGGGGTATCAGAGACAGCAGGTAAGAGTAAGAGGGAGGAGAGCAGCATCTGTCGACGTCGATGGCTCACCAGCAAACTCGCTGCAGAAAGGATCCTGCAGGGGGGCAGGAGTGCCCCCCACACACAGGGAGAAGGGTAAATCAAGTCGAAGTCGGCTGGCAGTGTCAGAAAATTGCTGGATGGAGAGGTGGAGTGAAGGAGAACAGCGTGGTGGTGTCAGCCGTGACCACAATGATGTCCGGAGGTGACGGATGCACACGTGACATTGCTGGCTTTGGACAGGGTGCCCTGTCTGCGGGTGAGGGAGAGGTACACCCTTTCCCCCACTGGGACTAGCTAATGGCAGTGCCAGGCAGAGGAACCTCTAGAGGCGCCTGCCAAGGCTGCTTCATCCCCAAGCCAGTCCTGCCCGCGCTACCGGCAGCAGGTGACAGTCAGGTGGGCAGACAGGGGAGCCAGACAAGTGGCCAGGAGCAGCGGCATGCACACACGGAGGATTTTACTGGGCCTTTCCTGACAAGTTCTTCCAAAAGGTCCTCTAGAGCGTGCCCACGATGGAGCTGTCAGATTGGGGCATCCGGTCTGCAGCCATCAGCCCACCAGGCCACAGAACACCACAAACGCAGCCCCAGACTGGGGTCCCAACTTCTAATTTTACTCACATTTGATGAATTTACATGAGCTCATGTGAAATCGACCCCCCCCCCCAACACTGCAAGCAGTCCTTACCTATCTGTTTAATGATTCTTGGGTCTGACGATCGAAATATTACTGCATGTCACGGGTATGCCTCACACCCACCAAGGGGTTTTATCCTCCTGGCACTTGAGGATTCGGAACTACCCCCGCACCTGCCCCAGGGGTTTCCAGTGTGGGGCTAGGGGCTGTGGTGTCTGCGTCAAAGGGGCAGCCCTCTCTAGTCCCCCTGCGACCCTCGCTCCCTCTGAGTGGGGTCCCCACAGAAAGACTCACCAGCCAGCATGCTGAAGAGCCTCCCACCTGCCCGCTCTGGGCAGCGCCTGCTCAGAGAAGCCCTCCCTCCTGCCCCAGCCCAGCCCCCTGCACTGACCCCACTGTGGCTGTGGAGACCACCAGCAAGGCACGTATTAGTGAGCCTGGCCGCCTCAGGCTCCAGCCTGGTCCCCCCACCACAGCAGCCCAGCCTGCGGACAGCACCCCCTCCTCTCGGTGGTGTGCCCCCTCCCCCGTGCCCCCAGCTTCCATCCGTGGCCGTCGCCTCAGCTGCCACTTGTCAGCGCTGACTGCTGGGTTGCCATGGAGACGCCATGGCAACCGGAGCCCGAGGGTCAAGCTGACCGGAGGAGACGCACCTCCGCAAGTGGGCCCGGCCACGTCACGGTGTGGGGGGGCTGGCTGACAGCCCCCCACCACAGCCAGCTCCGGGCCGGCAGCCATTCCTGCAGGACAGCTCCGCGCCGGCAGCCATTCCTGCAGGACGTGGGCATCCCAGACCGGTTCCGAGTGGGCGCTGCTCCCCAAACACCCCCACGTTATGGAAGGGGGGACCCCCGCCCCACCTCTCTGGGAGAATAGGATTAGATGGGTGGACAGCCACATGCTGGGGGCCACACCCCCCTGTTCCAGGCCACACCCACCTGCTCCTGGCCTCACCCGGCCTGGCCACCCTGGGATCCGGCCAGTGGGACAGGAGACAAGAACCCTCTCCCCTTCCCCCTCCCGGGTGCCCACTGAGGACGCCACGGGAGCGCCCCGCCTGGCTCACCCCGCGAGCCCCTTCAGCCGGTACTGGAAGCAGCCGTGGTCCAGGCGGCCGGCCACCAGCCTGTCCTCGGGCAGCAGCACCCAGGTGTCCCGTGGTTTCCTCTCGGCCATCAGCTTGTGGAAGGTGGCGGCCCACACGTCAGCCCCGGGCCGGTCCATGCTGGCGCTGGGCTCCGCAGTGCGGTCTGACGGCAGAGCCCGCCCCGGGGGCTACGAGAAGCCTCTCCCATCACCAGCATCCCGGCACTGGCCAATGCGCTGCCCTGGACCACAGCAGCGTCTCCATGGCAACCAGGTTTGTCTCCGGGAAACGAGGCATAGGTCTTTTCTCCTTATAATTTCAAGTATTTTTAATGACGCAAGCAATGCATTTTCGCGGTTGAAAAAACAAACAGATAAATAAAGAACAAAAAATACTTTTTTAGGATAAAATCGCTCCTCATACCCTTTCCCAGAAACCGTGGATCACCCAAAGCATCGCGGTGCGTGCACTTCCAGGCGTTTTTCCACGATTTATACACATAAATATTCAGAGTTGTTTTTCACAGTAGGAAATCGTACTAAGCCCGTTATCCGATAACCTGCTCTCCTCTCATCAGCGCATCATGAGCAGTGTCCCATGCTAAAAACCTTCATCATCTCTTTCTAAATGTCTGGTATTTTACAGTTTATAGTTATGCTGTATTTTAGTTGTTGTCATTAGTCGCTGTCAAGTCCGCTCTGACTCACAATAACCCCGTATGCAACCGAACGTAACATTGCCGGGTCCCGCGCCATCTTCAAGATCACTGACGCTCTCCAGTCCGTGGTTGTGGCCCCCGTGTATTCTGAGTGCCTTCCAACCTAGGGGGCTCATTGTCTGGCACTACATTGGACACTGTGCTCTTGTGATCCACAGGGTTTTCACTGGCTACTTTTTGGAAGTAGATCACCAAACCTTTCTTCCTGGTTTGTCTTATGCTGGAGGCTCTGCTAAACCTGTCCACCACAGGTGACCCTGCTGGTATTTGGAATACCAGCGGCATAGCTTCCAGCATCACAGCAACATGCAAGCCACCACAGAATGACCAACTGACAGACAGGTGGCGGGTGATTTCTCTACCCTGCTTCGATCGCTTCACAGGGCCCCTGGGTGGAGCAAGTCGTTTTCCTGCAACTGCTAATCTGAAAGTTGGTGGTTCAAACCTGCCCAGCAGTGCTGTGGAAGAAAGGCCTGGTGATCGGCTTCCATAAAGATTTCATCCAGGAAACCCTATGGAGCAGTTCTACTCTGTAATACATGGGGTCGCCATGAGTCAGAATGGACTCAACTACAAAGGGCTCTCTTTGGTTTATTGCTGAGCAGCGAGGGGTTAATTCTTTGCTGTTACAAAACAAAGCTATGAAGAACTTTCCTGAACACACATCATTGAAAATACTCCTGTGGTTTTTAATTGCATTCAAACTTTTTTTATTTGTGAGAAATGTACTTACATGCAGATGTCTAGATCACAAATGTGCAGCTTAACAAATTATTAGTAAGTACCAGGCAACCACCACCCAGAAGAACTAGAACCTTGCCAGTCCCCAGAGCTCTCCCCATGCCCTTCTCCGATGCTGACGTACTCCTGACCCCAACAGCCCCACCAGCCTCACTGACGAGCACTTCCGTGCTTCTTTTTGTGGTTTTTCTCCCTAAGATGTGTCCCTAAACACTCTGGTTTCATCTTGCAGTTTTGAGCTTTACATAAATGGAATCTTGCATTCTGCATTTGGTGCATGTACGTCTGGCCTCTTCCACTCTTTTGGTTTTGTGTTTGTGGACTCAGCCAGATGTTGTGGGCAACAGAAGTTTGTCAGGGTACAGCGGGAAACAAGGAACTGAGAAGAGAATAGGCCGATGTTCAAGAAGGGCTCCAACGGTCTCGAGAAAGGACACGCAGTCCAGGGTTTGCGGGGTCAGAAGGTGCAACCGATACTCATCCTCAGATGAAAATATCAAAAGAGGAAGGCTCTGAGCGCCACCCTGGTTAAGCCTTCTCAGAACGAGGCCCTGGAGGGCACAGCCATCACATTCATTAGACGTCTTAATTGCAGCTCAGGGCAGGAGCGTGAGCAAGGCGAGCCGCGGGACCCGGCAGGTGAGAGGAAGCCAGTGCTCAGTCTGGCGGCTGACGAGCAGTAAATGGAATCAAGGCAACAAAACAACACAGAGGCACTGGAGAGAGCTGTACTCAGCCACAGAGGCAGGTTTGGGGGCCAGCAAGGACACGTCGGCCAGCGCCTATATCCAAATGGCCACAGACAGGGTAGGAAGGGACATCTTTCCCAAGGGCAATTCAGTGGGCTCTCTCCCAGGAGGGAAAAGCAGCAAACCAGTTGCCAGGTGGTGCAAACAGTGAACACACTCGGCTGCTAACTAAAAGGTTGAGGTTGAGGTTTGAGTCCACCCATAGGCACCTCAGAAGAAAGTCTTGGCAATCTACACATAATTACATCAGATTACAAGATGGAGGACAACCACACAACAGTGGGAATCATGGCCTAACCAAGCTGACACAAATTTTAGGGGGGACACAATTCAATCTGTGACATGCACATACACACACACGCATGCATACACTCATACATAAATTTATGCACACATACATATGCATACATATATACATACACACAGAGATGCATACATGTACACTCATGTACACACTTACATGTGCACCTATATACACATACACACATACACCTTGTTATGGATTGAATTGTGTCCCCCAAAAACGTGTGTCAATTTGGCTAGGCTATGATTCCCAGTACTGTGTGATTCTCCACCATTTTCTCATCTGATGTGATTTTCCTATGTGCTATAAATCCTGCCTCTGTGATGTTAATGAGGCAGGATTAGAGGTAGTTATGTTAATGAGGGAGAACTCAATCAACAAGATTAGGTTGTATCTGAAGTCAATCTGTTTTGAGATATAAAAGAGAGAAGAGAGCAGAGAGACAGGGGGACCTCATTACCACCAAGCAAGAAAAGCCAGGAGCAAGCATCCTTTGGACCCGGGGTCCCCGCGCTGAGAAACTCCTAGACCAGGTGAAGATTGATGACAAGTACCTTCCCTCAGAACTGACAGAGAGAGAAAGCCTTCCCCTGGAGCTGGCACCCTGAATTTGGACTTCCAGCCTCCTAAACTATGAAAGAATAAATTTCTCTTTGTTAGAGCCATCCACTTGTGGTATTTCGGTTATAGCAGCACTAGCTAACTAAGATAGAATTTGGTACCGGGAGTAGGGTGCTGCTCTAACAGATACCTAAAATGTGGAAGCAGTTTTGAAACTGTGAATGGATAGAGGCTAGAAGAGTTTTAAGTTTGCCTTGAAGAGACTACTGGTGGAATTATGGACATCAAAGATAATTCTGGTAAGGACTCAGAAGGAAGTGAGGAGAGCTGTTACACTGGAGCCAGCACAGACAGCCAGAAGCAGCAGGAGAGAAATGGCAGCAGCAGAACCAGGAGACCAGCGTGTGATGGCATGAGAGGCAACCCACGGAGCAAGAAAGCTGAGTGCCTTTGCGCAGGTGGCTTCCTGGTGGAGTGGGGTGCCTCCAGGCATTTATCAGTGGAGCCAGGCTTGCCAATCCACAGAGCAAGAGAGCTGAGTGCCTTCCTGCTGAAGTTTACTGGTGGAGTGGAGTGGCTCCAGGCACTTACCAGTGGAGCTAAAGAGCTTCGGAACACTTGCCTGAGCAGGGCAGATACTGGCCAGCCTAAAGACCCAAGGGGCCAAGAAGCCAAGGAACCAGGAAGTAGGAGCTGAAGAGACAAGGAACACAGGAAGCAGAGCTGTCTCAGTCTCAAAGTGTAGGGCCATGGCCTCTGGGATCTCAAAGTGTGGAACCATGGCTTCTGGGGCTTCTGTGGGTGAGGCCACGGCATCCTAGGTTTCAAAGAGTCAGATCTTCACCGGCTCGGTTCCGGAGTGTGGGGCTGCAATTCACAAGTGTCAGTGGGATGGGGCCGGATCCCCTACTCAAAGCTGAGGGGGCGGGGCTGCCATACCCAAGGGGCAGAAGAACGGGGCCTCCCGGGCCTGGTGGGTGGGGTCGCCACTTAGATCGACTAGGAGAATGGGGCCCCCCAAAGCTGAGGGAGCAGAGTTGCCACTCCAATTGGCCTAAAAGGCAGAGCTGAAGCCCAAGGCCGAGGGGCTTCCATCCAGAATCGGAAGAGGGTGGCTAACACCCAGAGTCTGGAAGGCAAGGCCATTGCCTGAGGCCTTTGTCTCAGGGAACAAAGGATTATTTTCAAGCCTTGAGGGCTAATATAACGTGTTCTGCTGACTTGCTTGGTGCCTGTTATCCCTTCTTTGCCTACAGTTTCTCCCATTTGTAATGGAAATGTCTAGCTTGTCCCTGTTCCACCACTGTACTTTGTAAACAGATAACTTGTATTCTAGATTTCACAGATGAACAGGAACTTTCGGATTTTGGACTTGGAGTTGATTTAAGACTTTTGCTGTCATATAATGAGGTGAATGTGCTTTACTTGTGGCAAGGACATGAATTTGGGGGGGCCAAGGGTGGAATGTTATGGATTGAACTGTGTCCCCCCAAAACGTGTGTCAATTGGCTAGGCTATGATTCCCAGTATTGTGTGATTCTCCACCATTTTCTCATCTGATGTGATTTTCCTACGTGCTATAAATCGTGCCTCTCTGATGTCAATGAGGCAGGATTAGAGGTAGTTGTGTTAATGAGGGAGAACTCAATCTACAAGATTAGGTTGTATTTTGAGTCAATCTGTTTTGCGATATAAAAGACAGAAGTGAGCAGAGAGACAAGGGGACCTCATTACCACCAAGCAAGAAGAGCTAGGAGCATGCATCCTTTGGGCCTGTGGCCCCTGCGCTGAGAAGCTCCTAGACCAGGGAAAGATTGATGACAAGGACTTTCCAAAGAACCAACAGAGAAAGAAAGCCTTCCCCTGGAGCTGGCACCCTGAATTTGGACTTCCAGCCTCCTAAACTGTGAAAGAATAAATTCCTCTTTGTTAAAGCCATCCACTTGTAGTATTTCTGTTATAGCAGCACTAGATAACTAAGACACACGTATATACACATACACAAATGTACATACATACATATATACACCTATATACATATACAGAGATATGCCTATATACACA